AGCCACGCTGAACTGTCATCATAACGCTAATAAAGAAAAAGCTTTGAGCTGTTTGCATTAAGTGGCCTGCTCGTCGCAAACTGTCAGCCTGCCTGTGGCTCTAAATCAGCACAAGTTCTGTCCTTCTAATTCCACTCATTTATTCCACTGTGGTCTGAGCACAAATCCCCTCATCATCTAAAAAAAGTCTGAAGGCACCATTGCCTTGTAAAACCTCATTAGGCTTAATAACATTTAGTGAGCACAGAGCAGACACTGCATGCATTTGTGTGAATCTCATATGTGCAGGTATACATTTGTGTGGGGCGTGTGCATGAGCTTCTGAGTGCATGGACGGATGTGTGTGTCTGTCTTCTGAGAGCAGGGCTAGCTCAAAGCCACAATGCATCTTATTCAGCAGGGTCCCAGGATTAAAATGTAATTTCATTCAAAGTTGCAAATTGGGTTTTTTACTGTACTAATCTTCATTTTACTAAGCAGAATGAGGTACGTCATTAAAAAAAGAAGTGACTTAATGAAAGAATGCAGGATGGATAGATTGCAGAGGGAAAAGTGGTTCCCCACCAGAACCATAAAGGTTATTCAGAATCATAAACACTAAAAACCTCATGAATAATACAGTACACTGTGCAACTACATTTGATCATGTACTGGAGTGATTATGTTTTAGGGATAATGAGAGTGACACATTTGCACTTAAGGTATTCAACTAAATCAAGGAAGTCAAAATGAAGCTGTACCAAAAGTTGAATTACTAATCATTACTGTACAAAAAACAAGTGCAAAAGGTTAGAGAGACAAGATCCGAGCAAAAAAAGGCAGGTAGAAAGTTTGACTGAAATATAAAAGCTCTTTTGCATTGTAAGAAATAAACCATTTAAGGTGGAAATAATGTAGATAATTCCTACAAAGGGGTAAAAGTATAGAAGGCATTTAATATTAGACTCTGAAATATACTCCTGCACATTGTGCTGTATGGAAGAATTTCAGGATGTATTTCAGTACTATTAAGTGTAGATGGAGGAAAGTGAGCTTCAAGAACGCAGCTTCCACTGTGAAGCATGAAAAATAATGAATTCACACCACACCACCCCTCTCACCTAATCACATTCAAGAATCAGCAAAGCCATTTCCCTAAGCTCTCCCAGCTAATACATTTCCGGAATAGAAATCATGATCCTCAAAATAATTCCTTTGATATTATCAATGAATCTGGTTTGTTTGGTAAGACCACACTTTAAACAGGCCGGCCGCATTAAAGACGAACTAAGATTGCACACAGACGTTCTTTTCAATTAAATCTTTCAGCGACTGCAGAGTCGAATCAACCGACTATAATGACTATGCTACTATTGCCAGCACATCCCAACATACCAGTAGAATACCAATTGTAAAACCAATTCCATTCACTTTTCAATTATGGTTATTTTTGGATTCCTTTACTTAAACATCAAATATTCTCAATTTTATTTCTTATTCTAATTCCATCCAAAAGTTAATGAACAAATCACCTGCTGAAAAGCCTGTAATGGCCCTGATGGGAATTAGAAGCCTATTTTCTTTTTCCTTTCCCTCCTCCCTTTGTGTCCCTTCTTTCTTTCCTCCCATCCTGTCTGCCATAGATGGACCGGAGAGATTTACAGTTAGGGGGTCCAACAGTGGTTCTAATTAGCTTAAGTAGGTTGGGAGGAATAAGTACTTCCATGCTGAGATGCACCACCAAGTCCCACAGTTCAGTCTGACTAAGCAGAGAGAGGAGAATGCAGTCGAACAGCGGTTTCCATCTTTGTCTGCCTCTCTATCCCTCTGTCTGTCCGTGTCCTTTTGTGTCTCTCTGTCTACACTGGTGCCAAAATTTTCCCCATCTTGTTAATTTATGAGAAAAATTGACTTATCACGTACATAATGATGACAACCCTTCAGCTGGGGTTTTGGGGAGCAGTCTGGAAAACATCTATCATCAAAAGTTCCAAGAAATGTCACATGCTGCATCGTGGCTGTGCCAAGTGCATGTCTTTTTTCACATGAATTGTGAAATGTGGTTTAAAAAAAAAAAAAAAGCTGACAGTCAAGAAAAATGATCCTCTACTAACTGGTTTTAATGGGTTTTTTATGGAGAAGTTCTTTGACCTTGAGGAAATCTATTTAACCTGTGATGGAAACATTGTCAACAAGTCCACTTCTATCTTTTATAGTATCTTAATATTTGTATAAAAATTACTAGACAGCTGGAAGGAAGCATAGCAAGTGTCTCCTCCTGCATACAGTATGCACCTGCCTCTCTCTCTGTATATCCACTTCCCTCTGATGTCCAGAGAAGGAGTCTCTTCACCAGAAAAACATGGGCACTGTTCCCAATACCCTGCAGGAAAATCTCCACAATTTCAAAGACTCAGGGGAGAAGACTCTCCTTCCAAAACAAACAAACAAACACCACCCCTTTTTTTGGATCAATCTGTCACCCAACCGGCAAATTTCTTTGGCAGAGGCATTGTTTAGTCTCTGCATTTCTCCAGCCCTCCTCCCCCAGTGTCAGGAGTGCTCCTCCCTCCAATGTAAAAATGTAATTAGCATTTTTAATTGAAGTCATATATGTGTGTATTTTGCTATCAGCGGAGAACCAAGTGTACCATTTCCTGCTTGGCAACAATTTCTAAGCCGCCTTTCACTGCCCTGTCCCTGTGTGTTTATGAACCTGGCCCGCCCCCTACCAAGCTCTTTTTATTTCATTTCTCCCTTTCTGTTGAGGTGCCCCCTGGAGTGCATGAGAAAGAGAATGCACAATAATAATTTACTGCCCATGTACAGAAATTTAAAATGGTTTAGGGCTACAACAATTGCAATCATTATTTTTTTTAATCAACAACAGAGCAACTGGATGCTTTTTGTGACTCACTCAATGTTTTACTGTGTAAAATGTCACAAAACTGTAAGAAAGAAATGTCCTTTACAATTATTCAGAGTCAAAGGTGATGATTTGTTTGGTTCACAGTACCACCAATATTCAGTTTACAGTAATAAAAACAAAGAAAGCTAGCAAATCCTGAGATTTGAGAAGATGAAACACGTGAGAGTTGGTCATTTTGGGGTGAAATTCATCATTTCCAGCATCAAGACCTGGAAGGATGAATTAGTGATTGTATACATACATAAAAGATTCTTCTTTCCATTTTATTTTTGTTGAAAAATGACTATGCTTTTTCTTATTTTCCTGGAAATCGTTCCTGCTGTCAGTACTGAGATTACTGAGCCTAGAGGTTAATTTCCAGTTTCTGGCCAGACTCATTCCTTTGTCTGTTACCTGCTGCTCAACTGTTCTTCCTCTACTGCTTTCAAACAAGCAGATGTTGCTGCGCCCAGACACATCACCTTCAACAAACCAAGAAAGACCAGCCTGACACTGGGGAAAAAGACCTCATGAATTTAATATAAGGTAGAACAATTTCCCCAAAGCTAACAATAATGGGCATTCATTTACATGACAATGTGGCTTGAAATTACTTCTAAAAAAATACTGAAAAGCGGGAGAACAGGAGTGATGGCTGTTTTTCTTTTGCCCAGTGACTGCCTGGCACAGTTCCGTAGA